AGCACATAATTACTGGCAACCTGAATATCATACAAAACCATCAACTTAAAACACTAATGAGTTATGGTACAAAATTTAGACCAGTCAGAAACATGACTACAAAATTACTGTTTACTGTTACAAGACTTTCGAAAACAACATCAACGAATTATAGTTAAAGCAAGCTATCAACTGAATTTTAATTTACCCATAGATACCTTCTTAAAATGGAAAGCTAAAATTCTTCTTAAACGCATATCCACCGAAATCAGTCACCTCAAATTTAAAAGTACACTGAATTGGTCGCAACTTACATCAGATAATAATAAATTAAAACAGCTTTTTACTATTACAAAAATAGATAAAGCAACTAATAACTTTAGCATTATATGAAAACAATTCTACGCTGAAATTATTCATAAAGAACTTCTCAATGCAACTACTTATCAATTAGCCAACCTTACAGAAACATCTATAACAAACAGGATTAAAACTTTTCATAAGAAACTCAATATTACTTTCAATGCAAACTACAACAGATTTACTAATCTTTATGTGATTCCCAAATTCCATAAAACACCATTAAAATTTCAATTTATAGCTAATGGAACTAATAATTACAAGAAAAATGTAGACTATTATTTTTCAATTCAACTTTATAAAATCTGTAAATTTATTTTCAATGATTGTAACACTAATCATAACTATTGCTGGATCATTCATAATAACACTCCTGTCATTAATACCATTCAAACCATTAACATCCAAAACATTAACTGCTATGATTTTGAAAACTTATATACCTCACTTCCTCTAGAAGAAATCTATACCAGTCTACTTGATCTACCTAAACTTTTCCCTACTATACTCAATATCATGACTCTTGACAAATGGAAAACCTACCTAAAACGCACACTTTTTCATAACTACATCAAGTTTCAAAATCAACTTTTTAAACAAGTCACAGGATTGCCAATGGGCTTACATTCCAGCACCTCGATCTGTAATATCTTTTTATTTGTCAAAGAATTTAACTTCCAAAAAAATCTACAACCACAAGAGTTAATTTACTACAAACACACCTACAGATATATTGATGACCTTATTACGAGGGCTATCCAGAAAGTAGATTACGTTTTGGAATAAAAAAATAAACAAAGTATAGGAAACAAATTTTATTATATACAGATGAAAGCCACACTCAAATACTACTTTTCTACATAGTCACCATACAAATTAAGGAAGGCATTTATCGTAGCGATGTACGAGCTTGGAATTCCTTCGTCGAAAAATTCGGCCCGCCTGCGCCTTCAACCACTTCGTTACTTACGTTACCTCTTCTTGCCTTCCATCTTGCACAAAAACTTGTGGTAAACCAAGCTTTTCGCTGATGATTTCGTGCAACAAACTTCGCGAAATTTGTGGAAAACTCAAAGAAAGTTCCGTTATTGTGAAATTTCGATTTTCACGGACTTTAGCATCGACTTTTTCGAGAAGTTCGGCGGTCACTATGCTGGGTCTCCCACTTCGATCTTCGTCGTGAACATTGGTTCGGCCATTTTGAAATCTTATGACCCACTGACGCACTCCACTCCACCTTCAGTGATAATGTTGTCCCCATACACTTCACGAAGCTGCCGATAGATTTCTATCGGTTTACAGTTTTTTGCAGTCAGAAACCTTATTACTGAGCGCACCTCGCAGGATTTTCAATTAACGCAGACATTTCAAACCGTCACAGTATCTGAACGGAGCACAGCACGAACCTCTCACTAGCACGGCTAGATGCAGACTGAGCTGCGCAACGCTCTGACCCCAAGATGGCCGCGCTAGCCCCGCCCCTAGCGGACACAGACGGAAACGTAATCTACTTCCTGGATGGCCCTAGTACAATTAATAATTTTGGTAAAATTGAACACTCCGAGATTTATCCGAATTGTCTTACACTTAATAAAACTAATAATTCACAAAATAGCATAGACTTTCTAGATCTTCAAATCATTAACTACAAAAAAATTTTACTTTTTGACAAAACAAGAAACTTCAATTTCAATACTAACAAATTAATGAATTGGAACTCCAACACATCCAAAAAAAAGTAATTAAGAATACTATAATTAATCAATAACACAAATTAAAAACTATATGCACACAGATACAATAGATTTACAACGCGAAATTTTGATCCTTATTAAAATTCTCAAAAATAATCTAATTCCCATTCAATTTATCAACCATTGCCTTAAAAGAGCAGGCGTTAAATACTCACTCTAAATCATTTAACTGATAGGGATATGATAATTTGTTCCTAAACCTGAGAAGGCGGTATAAGTTGGATGACTGTCAGTTGGAAGACTTGTATATAGTGTAATTACTCAATTGTATATATTGTAAAAAGCTAATTGTCTTCAGACATATACTGTTACTAAAAAAATGGGCCTATTTCATGCCTTTAGTCTGTCTATTAGCTCTTGGACAGTGAAAATTCCTTTTTCCTTTCTTAAATTCTTAATCATTGCGACATGACAATTAGCCAGAAATTAATTAATTTCCATTCACTAGTATTTTCAAAAAAATCTTAACAGACAGTCTCACTCAGATAAGAACTCCACAAAATACATCCCTCAAGAATTCCAAGTCCCACCCACTACCATAAATTACTTCACCCAAGTCTTACCGACTGATATTATTCAAAGCCCCTACTGCCGCTAAGAATTTTCGGACACCCTAACACTTGATCAGTCAGACACGAAGAGAACACTTTGCCAACTCCCCCACTAGAAAGAATGTAAGTTACTTAATACCTTTTTCTGGCCTTTATATCTTCATGTACATTCACTGATCTTATTCATATTATTTTTCTATATTATTTTTATTGTCTTTGATTTGTTTTTTACAAAGTTTGCATTATTTATCTTATTTTGTAATCTTCTATGTTTATTTCAACTTTACTTTGAATTCGATTTCATAATGACAATTTCCAATGTTTAATTTCTACAAATAATATAGTACTCAAATGCATAAACATGAAAGTGTTAGGGAGACGGTTACTCGAGTTAAATAGGATTTCTCTACAGTAATTGATTTTTACTCCAAACTGAATTGACTAAAATGCTTCATAAGAATAAGTTCTTTGAGTATCAGCATTGGTTTATAATTCCTTCTATTCGCGGAAATATTTAGCCTGACTAGAACTGCCGGTTTGGCTTTTACTTATAACTCGAGTAAAGATGAAACACTTTCGTATTTACGTAGTTTTATCAATTATTGTTGATTGAACGGGAGTTGGTTTGTTCCCCTTGAAAAGTCAACTAATTTCCGATCAATGACAATGATTACATGTTTTAATTTTTCCTTTTACGATAGAAATTTTATTCTTCATGATAATTTAACTCCAGTCCCCGTTAAAACATTATTAACATTTTACTTTCAAATTACTTCAAAACATCTTTCAAAATATAACTTACCAATATGGATTCACACTTTTAAAATAATTCTACTTTAATTAAACTTAGGAGATAATATAATCAATTAATCAATACTGTTTAGGAAATAAATTATTATTAACTAACTTTGCAGCAATTACGCAAGTAGTAATAACTTGTATTCGCACTAAATGGATTTAAGATCATACAACTCTGAAAATTATACAAACATTTTTATCAATTAATGGGCTACAAATTTTGACACTTCATATTTACATTCTGATTAAAAATTAGGTTTAATCCTAGTACCGGTGCACATGGGATTTGGCTACTTTATGATGAGCAGTAAAAACGGGACATATACGGTGAGTAGTAAACGGGTCATTCAAAGAATATATATAGTTATATATAGTATATATTACGTATATACATACATAGTATATAGTATATAGACGTTCTTTGAATCATTTTTTGTGTTGGCGATAATTTTCAAAATCGTGCCAACGCTGCACCGTATACTAGGATTTTACCAAAGATTCATTTAACATGCAATTTACTTAAAAATCCATTGCAGCTTCAGGGAAAAATCAAAAACTGGCATGTAAAACGGTGTAAAAATTTATTATTAAAATGAAACAAGTCTTATCATCAAAGTATATATAAAATTAATACCTTGATTACATTTTAGATAGGCAATACTGCAGTATTTTAGAATATTATAAAATAATGGTAATAATTTTTAATGATAATCATTCAAATCAATATAATCTTCTGGAATTTTTCTCAGTATAACACTTTAACCAATAGATGAAAAGTATGCTTATAACTGAAACAACTTATCAAATTTTTCCTTGCTATTTCTTGCATCAAGTCAAACCCATATTTATATTGTACAGTCAACTTCTCCATTACAGCGATTTACAGCATTACCAAAACTTTCAATTAATGTACAATGGGTGCATCGCCCATTTTAACGTTGCTTATAGCAATACACACCAAAATAAAAAAAACCATGAAAGAATAACTGTTATAAAAATGAAGTTTCCAGTGACAAAAAAAGTACACGCAACTAAATTATATTATATAATAATTTCAAAATGTGCAACACAATATCTGTACAATGCTTACAGCAAAATTGGATTCTTAAGTTCAATATTACGTAATACCTAAAACATTCACCGATTAAATGAATATTATCATTCACAATCGTAACATGTTAAACTTCAACCATTACATAATAAACTATTTTATCATTAAATCACTCATAAAATAATTCTGACAAGTTAATTTCGACTGTGATCAAAGTCCGCGACAGTACATTTTGAACTGCATTCCATTGTGCCTACAATAAGAAATATTTTCAAAATGCAAAAAACATAAAAGCATGCATATTCTAACATCTACGATATTTATTAGTGAAAAAGTATTTTTTTATTATTTTTTTTTATGAATTAAGTACTATTTTAGATTTACAGGCAAGGTTAAAGGAAACTCAAAAATAAGCTATCAGTAACGAAATATGTATGTATATGCTTTCACACAATAAAAATAAATAAAAAAAACTATAACTCTAAAAAAAGAAAAAGTAAAACTTACGTCAAAATCATTAATGTCGACATCCGCCCCAGTTAACAAGCACATGAAGAGCATAAATGCACGTTGCTTATTGCTTTAGCTACAACCGGATATAGTTGCAGGATAAAAAATATACCAATTACTACAAATACTCATGAAATATGAAAGTTAAATAAAAAAATAACAAATATGAAATCGATGAAAATTAATGCACTGATTCTTTACACGTTTTAAATTATTTTAGCTTAATACTCTTATGCGACCGTGCACCCTCGATGAGAAATTGTTAAGCCATTAATTCTGAGTTGCCAGATTAAAATTATAGATCTTTTTAATAAACGCACATTATCCTATAGTTGAAAGAAAAAAAATATCATAAAACAATTATTGATATTCCTATATTATGATTATAATATAGGTATTAAAATAAATGTCTCTATATGAATTTCAGAAATTTTATACACCTCTACAATAATTTATTTAATTACATTTTAAATTTATAAATTAAATTTACTGTTAAATAAATGTAAGTAATTATTGTGTTTTCAACATTCGGATCACTTTACTACGTATTACATATAAATATACGCTTAGATGCAACTATTTCTTTTATTGAATCTTTCTATTCATATTGGCAACTGTTCATTATAATATTTTCCTTTCTCTGATTGGCTACGGTTGGAACGTTCTGACTTTTAATCTGAGCAAGGTTACTCAAGGACTAGTCAATTGTCAGTTTCATTGGAAAGCGGTACTTTTTTTTTTGAAAATTAATAATGAGTGTCTGCTTGGTTGTAATTGATGGTTGGGGAATATCAGAAGTGAAGGAAGGCAATGCTATCGCCAATGCTAAAACTCCAGTTATGGATGAATTGGCAAAATCTTCCTGGTCAGTATGTCACTTTGGATGCTTCTGGACTTTCAGTTGGATTACCGGCAGGTTTGATGGGAAACAGCGAAGTAGGGCATATGAATATTGGCTGTGGTCGTGTGATGTATCAAGATATAGTTCGAATCAATATGGATGTTGAAAATAAAAAAATAGGTGATAATCCAAACTTTGTAGCATGTAGTGAAAACGCTAAATCTGGAACCGGAAGGCTTCATTTGTTAGGTTTGATCAGTGATGGTGGAGTTCATGGACATATTGATCATCTTTTTGCTTTATTAGAAGCTTCTAAAAAACAGGGCGTTCCAAATACTTTCATTCATTTCTTTGCTGATGGTCGAGACACTAGCCCTACGAGTGGGGTCTTGTATGTGCAAAAAGTTTTGGATAAACTGAAAGAGCTTCAGTATGGAAGTTTATCTACGATAATGGGTCGCTATTATGCTATGGATCGCGATAATAGACATGAAAGAATTAAAATTGCGTATGAAGGTTTGGTTCAAGGAATTGGGGAGAAATCATCACCTGCTAATGCTGTTGCTTTGATACAGAAACGATATAACGACCCAAGTGATCCTCAGACTGACGAATTTTTGAAACCTATAATTCTAGATGATAAAGGACTTATTCAAGATAATGATACATTAGTTTTTATTAATTTCAGAGCAGACAGAGTTCGTCAAATTACTGAAGCTTTTGGCATTAAGCTACACTTTGAAACGAGTAAAGTTCCTCAGAACCTAAAGATATGCACTATGACTCAGTATAAAAAGGAATTTCCATTTACTATGCTGTATCCTCCAACTGTCCCTGTAAATGTGTTATCAGAGTGGATATCTAAGAAAGGTCTTCCTCAATTTCATTGTGCAGAAACTGAAAAATATGCTCATGTTACTTTTTTTTTCAATGGGGGCCAGGAAAAAGCATTTGATAAAGAAGATAGGTTGATGGTCCCATCACCAAAAGTTGCAACATATGATCTAAAACCTGAAATGAGCTGTCTTGAAGTTGCACAAGAAATGGTAAAAACAATAGAAGGAAAGAAGTATCCATTTGTAATGTGTAATTTTGCTCCTCCTGATATGGTTGGTCACACGGGTAAATACGAAGCAGCTATTATTGGTGTTGAAACCACTGATAAGGCCATTGGTATGCTTGTTGAAGCTTGTAAAAAGCATGATTATACTTTACTTGTTACTGCAGATCATGGAAATGCTGAAAAAATGATTGGAGACAGTGGTGGCCCACATACTGCACATACCACAAACAGAGTCCCATTTTGCATGTCAGGATCAAGAAAGTTCCGAGATATTAAGCATAATGCTGCCCTTTGTGATGTAGCTCCTACTGTTTTAGGATTGATGGGCCTTGATCAGCCACCAGAGATGACTGGACAATGTCTTCTTGCTTAGTGTTACCTCTGTAATTAGTGTTTGTACTGACTTAGTTACCGGTGAAGGCTGTCATTTTCTATGTCTTGCTATATGAAAAATTCAAGCATGTTCTAAAAGTTAAGTTAATGCTTTGCAAATTTTTTTTTTTTTGCTTTGTTTTACTGAATCTCTCTCATGACATTATTTAGTAAAGAATGTTGGACTACTTTGTTTACATAAGTTACAAATGCTGAATGTGTTAAAAGGCATTTTTTGAAGAATTCTTAAGATGTTTATATATCCTACCATATTAGCTGTTAATTCTTTTAAATTTTAACTGTTTTGGAGAGTTTATAACCAAGTTTGAAACTTTTAAGTGTTTTATGCTATGAACCAAAAATTAAATCCATCAGTATTTATATACCATATAAATGTTACATCATCATTCATAGATGTTTTCAGTTGTTAAATTTCCTATAAAAATTTCTATGAATAAATCCTTAATTTTGAAGTACATTTGTCTTGTATGGAGTGTGTTCAATTGTATATAAAAATTTGTGTTTTGGAAAATTTATACTGTTAGTTATAGAGAGTATTTAGTAATAAATGGATAAATTTCAAGTAAATGTTATTTAAAAATGTGTTGTTGAAAAATGTAGCAGAGTGTTAACGTGTGGACTTGATATCAGTGGAAGATACACATTTCCATATCTTCTATGGTACAGAAAAGATGTCAAATATATGTCAGAAAAACAGAATTAAAATATTGTCTGTGATTTATTTTTAGTTGTTAAACAATAAAAAATTTGAATTGTACTTTGAGAAAATTATTTTCAGTTATTTGGAAGACTTGGTAATTTTTTTATTAAATGTTTGTAATTTACAAGTGACGTTACTCGAATTCGATGTTGTTATTACCATTTATTAAGATACAACATTTATCATAATTTGAGATGCAATGCCTTTGCTTGAAGAAATTGAGAAATTTACATTTAATTTGTTGATAGCTTTAAAGATATTAGATATCAGAACTAATGATTACCCATAATATAGTATAGAATTTTGGAAAGCCTAAATTTTTTAAAGCATTAAATATGTGCAATCTGTTTTGAAATTTAAAATTAGGCAAAGCAGTAACTGTATTTTGGTGTGCAATTTTAACTAGCAGTGCTGAGGATGTTCTTGCACAAGTCCCTCTTTGGAGACCAAAAAAAAAAAAAAAAAAAAGTCTGAATATTTATTTCCATTTTCCTGCAGAAGAGATTTTCTTTTATAGTGGCGTGTTTCTCCTCTAATTCCGTACTGAAATATTTTAAAGGTTTACTTGCAGGATGTAAATAGAACTGCAATCGAGTATCAATGTGCAAAAGGGCAGTTAAACATGATACGTTATAAGAAAAGTTTATTATATGTTAAAATAATTATGTGTTTCAATGTTAAACATAATATATTAAAAGATGTATCAATTAAATCTTTATATTTAAATAATCAATTTATTCTGATTTTACTCATTGCAGTGTAGTTTATCGTAATTTATGTAGAATATCTCGTATAATGTGAAGTCGAAATTATAAAGTTTAATTTTCATAAAATTCCGTAAATGAACGTGAAGACAAGACGAGTAATTCTGTTAGCTCTTGTGGTTTAGCATGATAGTAATTTAAATAAAGGAAACATATATTTGTATGATATGATTGACAGTTGTAGTTCATGACAAATTAAATGAAATATTATTTCATTACTGTATTTTACTGTTTAACTTTATTTTTTAGAAAAGGCATACTGAACCAGTTTGTGTTATATATTAGTGACAATTTCATATTGCTATAAGAAAAGGTATTTCAGTTTTTTTTTAACTGGCTTTACTGAATTAAGATGGACTTTATTAATAAGTCTGAAATGAGTTACTGATCTCGGTTGAATATTTTTTATTAAATTTGTGAGATGCATCCTGAAATCGCTTTCACTTGGTTCTTTGTTATGACATGAACTAAGAAACATATAAAGTGATTTTTTTTAGATTTTGAGGATTAAAAATTAAATACAAAAGATTGAGTTAAAGAAAACCTAAGTTCTCAAAATCTTAGAAAGTACTTTTTTATAGCAGAATATATGATAATTAAAAATTCATAGAAATAATTACTTCATATCAAGTTATATAACATCCATGTAAATAATATGTGTGCAAACCAAAGTTCTTACATTTTCGGTTTCAAGATATTGATTTCATACATCCATTTTGGCTCAGTATTCAATCACTGGTGTATTCCTGCACCTATGCAAATTATGTGCTATTTACGTGAGAAGTTTTAAATCCTGGGTTTTGAGATTTTTGGTAGTGCAGGAGCACTAATATTTGTGTTTTATTATTCATAATATGTCTTTTGTAAATGTCTAGTAATCCGTGTAATGAAGAGTACTTGTTAATGTTGATAATATAGGTGAATAATTTTTGTTCATATAAACCAGAATGCACTAAGAGCAGAGTACATATTTTATTGATTAACATTTTTTAACTGTTTAGCAATATGTACAATAATGGATAAATTAATAAAATAAAATGTTGTTAATATCTCGTTAAAAAACATTAATGATAAAATAATTGTATACGTGTGTTTATGTAATGATTTTAAATGTTGATGCATAAAGAAGAAACTTGCATGCGAATTATGACTGAATTTAATATTCTTATGAATGAACAGTTTTAAAAGTAAACACTTGTAGAATCATTAGGTTATTTCAAAGCTGGAGACGTAAAAATTGAGCAATACCCTCGCGGGGACTCGAACCACGGACTTCTCGAATATGCACCGAGCGTGCTGACCATTACACCACGAAGGCATGTTAAAAAGGTGGGTGAAATACCTTATACACTGATAAAGTGGTGTCGTAAACACCTAGTCTTGAAGGATGTTTTTAAGAGAAGTAGCAGCAAGTTGGCAATAGAAGAGCGGAAAAGCAAATGCAACATACATAAGATGAAATCTTAGTTCAAAAGAATTTGTGTTATGGTTCCAAAATTTTTCAATTAGTTGGTTTGAGTTTCAGTTTGCAAAATTATCTTCATCATTAGCATTATCTGAGGATCAAATGACATGGGATTAATTTTAAAATGGCACAGTTTTAAGATATTTGTTATAAGCAGCAATTATTTTTTTTATTTCAGAAAGGAGAAATAGCCAAATTGAAACAGATTTAAGAGACATTAAATTAAAAAATGGAGAATTAAGGAACCAAATTAAAATAAGAGTTAAGGCTGATTTATAGTGAAAATTTTTATTTACATATTTTTTATCTTGCATACATATATGTGAACAGAGAAAAAATTATCTTTATTTTGTAAATATAGTTTAACCATTCAAAAATGGCTTAATAGAAAGTGACTACAGTTGAGACAAAGCGGAACAAATGGAATGAAATGAAAATTATAATTTAGTTATGAAAGCAGATCAATAGTTCAAAAAATATCTTTTATTATATATATTCATATACTTGTCTATAAATATACAAAAATATATTTATTATTAACTATTGATGACTATAAAAATATTTGTAAAAAACAGTAATTTGAATATTGTGTTTTTTTAATAAATTTAATATTTTATTTAAAAAATATGATTTTCTTTCACGATTATATTTTTTATCTGAGTGAATACTTTGCAATAGATTCGGATCATTTATTAAAATATGAAATTTCTCGCATGAATTGGTCAAATTATATTTTAAGCTTAATACGGATTTTAGAGTTTTAATGTTCAACTGCATTTTTTTCAATTGTCCGTATTGTATCAATACTAGAAAAAACAGGCTCTGTTGCTGCATTTGTCCCTGGAAGGGAGAATGTGTGTTCTACAATTTCCGGGCCCACCAGCGGCCGAGCGGTAAAACAGCTGAACACTAATAGTTCGATCTGAGGTTCAAATCCCGCGAATGGATTGGCTGCATGGGCGTTTTTGTGGTTTTCTCCATGTGTAACGTGTATAATTGCCAGTTTCCCTTAGAAAGTCCTCCACAGAGGCATCCCTCCCTTTAGGCAGATAGCCTTAGTGTGCTTTGCCATATTCTCAATACACCAAAAAATCTACAATTTCCAAAATATTTTCATAAGGAATATTATTCTGTTTAAAATGAAGGAACAACTCCGTCCATTTTTTTGTCTGTTTCCACATTTGCAGACAACCAACATTTAATTTTTTCATCAGTAACTTATCTTTTTGCCAATGACACCTCATAAAAAAAATCATTTTGGAAAATATTATTTTTCGTAAAATGGTTACTAATATATTAAAAAGATTTTTCCACTTATTCCCATATCTCATTTTTTAATGTTATCCAATGAAAGTTTTTAATATCCTCGAACTGAACTGTTCATTCTTCAAGATATTCCAAGCAGTTATTACAAAAATTTATGACTTCTTTCAGAAAATCAGGTCCTTTATTATGGCACCTTGTTCTTCCAACCTAGTGATGTCCTTTCAAATAACTAAAGGAACGTAATTGTTATCAATTCTTTTTCGCAATTTTGTTTTTTTTAAATTATTGATTTCATTTGATACTTCCGTACTTGAAATTTTGTCCCCTTCAGTAATTTTCACAGCATTGTGAAATAATGTAGCTTGGTTGTGGATGAACTGTAGATAAATTTGTGATGTGTCATTTTCAAAAAACAGCTGCAATATTCTTGGACATTTATCTTGTGATAAAAAGTATGATTTTAATGGTTCATTTATTTTAAAAATATTTTCTACAGCTGGTAAAAGAGCTAGTCATCGTGTTTTGCTGTAATCAATAATTCTTTTATATTTGATTTCTGCACTTTCACAAAAATGCTTCAAACTTTCGACACGCACAGTATATATATATAAAAATACGAATAAAATTTTTGAAATAATATTTTCAACATCCACTGGAAGTAAGTCAGATGCTGTTTGAATAGTATTGTGTAGAATGTGCACTGCACAATTTACTCGAATAATGTTTTAGTTCAAATGTTCGTTAAGTTTCGTAAAAACGTTATTCATGCCACTTCTAGCTTTTCCACCAAAATTTGCGTTAGTGTCATCAATAAAATTATTGCTTCACAATAGGCAATAATTTTTATTGTTCAAATTATTCTTTTTCAAAATGGTACTTATTGAATCAAAAATTATTTATGAAGTTTCACCCATCAACCGCCAAGATGGTATAGTGGTTAGGGAAGCCTGACTGCATTACCAAAAGGCTTTGGTTCGAATCCCAGAGAAGGTATGATTATAATTGTTCATCCCTTCATAGGAAGCAATGGTGGCCCACCTATTAGGTGCCTCCATAATAAAGAGACCACCACATCTGGCCTTAGTATAGATTAATGGACACTGTTACAAAGCTGTAACTGTTCACAAACTGCAATTGGGCAAAAAATAAAGTTTCACTGGGCAATGAAACAAAATCTAATATTCTAATTTTAATTGCTGTTTCTGGATCAAAAAGTCTAACAATTGTGGGAAATAATTTTTAATCTTTGTTGTTGGAAGCATCATAATATATGGACATAAATGTGCATTTAAAAATCTAATTCTTTCTGTAGTTGTGAAAACGAATGTGGTGAAAAAACATTACAAATAATTGCTTCGGCTTTTGTCCTTGCACAGGGCCGCTGCGTGGGTATTAGGCACCCTTGTTCAAATTGAAATTTGGTGCCCCTGTATGGGGTTCTGTTGCACTCAGATAAAGTGCTGCAAATTATACAGTCAAAAGTCGTTAATTCAGACACCCGTAATCCGGAATGATCTATAATCCGGACCTCAAAGCTACAAACTTTCTGCGCATGCGTCGTTTTGACG